TAGTTTGATAGGAATTGCATTGAATCTATATATTGCCTTAGGTAGTATTGACATTTTAACTATATTAATTCTTCCTATCCATGAACATGGTGTGTGTTTTCATTTATTTGTATCTTCTTTGATTTCTCTCTTCAGTGTCTTATAATTTTCTGAGTATAGGTCTTTTACTGAGAGCGTATGCTCTTAACAACAAGGCTGCCACTTCAACTCCCGCACGGGATGGTGGGCTGCCCCTCCCCCACTCCCCACAACTAAGATTGAACACAGCACCTTGAGCTGAGCATCCGTGAGCTGCCAATGGGTGGCCGCATGGATCAGTGTGCAACAAGGTTGCTGGTTTGACTCCAACATGGGGTGGTGGACTACGCCCCCCCTCCCCCCATCCCCACAACAAGATTGAGAGCAGCGACTGGACTTAGAGCTGAGCCTGTACCCACCACAACTTACATTGAAGGACAACTTGACTTGGAGCTGATGGGTCCTGGAAAAATAAAATGTTCCCCTTCCCCAATTTCCCAACACTCTTCCCCTCTCCAATTCCCCAATAAAATCTTTAACAATAAAATAAATAAATAAATAAGAATTTTCATAGCTTAGAGATTTTGTGAGAACCAGTGATTTTGTGAATTAACTATGCCTTAATTGAAATCATGACCCACTCAGTGCGTACCCTTAGACATTGAGGGTACTAGGAAAAAAACTTATAAGGGGTATTAGTGTTGTGAACGTATGGGCAAGCAAAAAACTTATTTATACTGTTTGTTATTTCAGTTCTATAAATATATTTTTCTAATATATATAAATTTTGCTTTTCTAAAAGAACCATTTTTCTATAAACTTCTAGTTTGCCAGAATTGAAACAACTAGGTAATTTAAGCTGGGATTGGTTGGATTTGTCAGTTGAGCTCCTGTTTATCTAATAAAGTGTCAGGTGTGAATGTGTCAGTGTGTGTGTTATCATAGGGGATAGATGTGGGGGTGTGCAGGCAGAGTAAGTGGATTTTCTGAGTTTGTTCCCATTTTAGATGGGTAGAGAAGGGAGACCTTTTTTTGAACTATTTTCATGTTTCACTGTGTAAGGTCAGGAAGATAATTTATCTTTTAAATTTATGTTCTATTTAGTGGGTTTTCTAACTCAATTTTTAGTTTCCTTTCCAGAAAGGATTTATATTAACATATAACTGATTTATCAATAAGCCAGAAATCAATTTCATGAATGAGGCTAAAGTGAATTCCATCAAGCAGGAAAACATTGTATGGTTTCTTTAGTATAATTTAGACAAGCTGGGACTTAATCAACTCTTAGTTCTCATTTTAAAATTTGTAATACGTGACCTTAGAACAAGCGAGGGATCACATCAGAACCATAGACAGTAGTCCAAGCTGTCGCTCCAGGCATTCCTCCAGAATGTCCAGATTTCACGATAGCAGACTGAGGAAGAGCAAAATCATGTCCATTAATATTTTGTTACTGGGATTTAAACTAGTGTCTTTTCTCCTAAAAGCAACAGTATCTTGGAGAAGTTAACATTCCCATTATAAATAAGTATGTAGTAAAAGTAAATATTCCGATTTTCCCCTCAAATGAAATATTGGCAGAACAGTCCCCATCATTGCTTTGAAATGTTTTTTAGTACTTATGATTAAAAAGAATATTAAAGATAGAAACGAGATGTACCAATATGGCTCATAATTAACACAATAATGAAAATAATTTAATTAAGTAAATCAGGCTTGTTCTATGATACCAAACAGTTAATATTCTTTTTTTAAATTAGAAAAATTATTTCATAGAGGGAAAGAAAGGTCTGGTTAGCTGATAAGTTGTAGTAGTATAAAGTTAGCTACACACAGAAATTGGGAATATAATTTCAAGTACAGAGCAAGTAAATGTAAGAAGAATTTATGATGAATTCACATTAGTTCTGCTTCATACAGTGAGTCTGCACTTAACATCGTTGACAGGTGTGAAACAACTTAAAATGAAACCAGTTTTACTGTAGACTAATTGATATAAACAAGAGTAAGCTACGGCATCAGGACCTGCTGTATTTGTGTCTGGCAGCCTTTCATAAAACAAGGAATCTTTTTCATAAAGAAATCTGCAGAGAATGAATGCATACCATGTTAGCTAGGGGGTGTGTTTCAAATGAAGTTTTCACCCTGTGATACTTATTAAACAATATTTTCAAGTGTTTGCTCTTTGCAGTGCTTGTGTTAATTGCTGATGTGTAAGTGTGTGGAGGGGGGGCGATGGGGATCTTTGTCTTCAACGCACTTATACTGTAGAGGACCCAAAACTACTTGGGACTTTGCTTTTTTTAAAAAAAACTTTTTTTCTCCTTTCTTTTTTTTATTATTAGTTTAAGGTGTACAAAACAATGTAATATTGGGTTATCGGAAAAGTCATGACGCATTTTTGCAACAGACGGCGCTAGTTCATTTTTGGAAGTAGTAGAGTCATTCGCATCTATGTTATTGCTATGTTATTTGACAGCTGACAGTTCTAGTTTCATTCTAAAAAAAAACTGAGCGATTTGGTTGAGTTTTAGAAATTTTACAGCAAGTTGAAGGTGAAAGACCAAACTGTGCATTTTCGTCATATTTTACTGTTTTACTTATATAAAGGGAAGAACGTGCATCAAGCTTGTAAAAAGTTGCGTAAAGTTTAGGGTAACAATGCTCTACAAGAACATCAGTGCCATTGATGGTTCACGAAATTCCGTGCTGGTGATTTTGATCTCAACGACGCTCCTCGGTCAGGGACGCCTACTGAGGTTGATGATGACAAAATAAAGGCATTTGTTAACATTATTAACAAAATAAATGTTACACAACACGAGAGATTGCAGAAACATTGAACATGCATCATTCAAGCGTTCACGACCACCTGAAGAATCTGGGATACGTAAGCAAGCTCGATATTTGGGTTCCTCATGAACGCAAAGAAGTTCATTTGACGGCACGTATAAACATCTGCGATATGCTCATTGAACGTGAGGAAAATGATCCTTTTTTCAAGCAAATGATAACTGGTGATGAGAAGTGGATTGTTTACAACAATGTGGTACGCAAACAGTTTTGGTCCCGACGTGATGATTTGCCTCAAATGACATCGAAAGCAGGCATTCATCAGAGGAAGGTTATGCTCCCAGTGTGGTGGGATTTAAAGGTGTTGTGTTTTTCGAGCTTCTACCAAAGGAAACAAACAATCAATTCGAATGCGTACTGCTGGCAGTTGGACAGTTTGAATGAATCTGTCATCCAGAAACGTCCAGTGCTCGTTAATCGTAAAGGAGTTGTGTTCTATCACGACAACGCGAGACCACACACAAGTTTGATCACCCGTCAGAAATTATTGGAGCTTGGATGGGATGTGTTGCCATACCCACCATACTCACCTGCGCTCTGCTTAAAACTCCTTGCGTGGTATAATGTTCAATTCAGATGAGGCTTTAAATGAGCACCTTGTTCAGTTTTTCGCAAAGACAGGTTCTTCTATGAACAAGGAATTGTGAACCTCACTGAAAGATGGCAAAAGATTATTGAACAAAATGGGCAATATATCATTGATTGATCTTTGTTCTTTATATAAATAAATGACCTTTGAAAAACAGACAAAATATGTCATGACTTTTCCGACAACCCAATATTAAAAAGATCATACACCAAGATCAAGTGGGATTCATTCCTGGTGTGCAAGGTTGGTCCAGTATCCGCAAGCAAGTCAGTTAACATGGTTTACCATGTTAACAAAATGAAAAGTAAAACTCATATGGTCATATCAATAGATGCAAAAAAAGCATTTGACAAAATCTAGCAGCCATTTATGATAAAAACTCTTAGCGAAGTGGGAATAGAGGGATCATATCTCAACATAATAAAGGCCGTATATGATAAACTCATAGCTAACCTCATACTCATCTAGAAAAAGCTAAAACTTTTCCCCTTAAGATCAGGAACAAGACAAGGTTGTCCACTTTCACCACTTTTATTCAACATAGTTCTGGAAGTTCTAGCCACAGTGATCAGACAAGAAAAAGAAATAAAAGGCATTCAAATTGGAAAGGAGGAAGTGAAATTGTCATTATATGCAGATGACATGACACCATATAGAGAGAACCCCAAAGACTACCAAAAAACTATTGGAACTGATAAAGGAACTTAGTAAAGTAGCGGGATACAAAATTAATATTCAGAAATCAGTTGCATTTGTATACACCAATAATAAACTATCAGAAGGAGAAACTAAGAAAACAATCCCATTTACAATTGCTTTAAAAACAATAAAATACTTAGGAATAAATTTAACCAAAGAAGTAAAAGCCCTGTACTCAGAAATAATAAGACACTGAAGAGAGACATTAAAGAAGATACAAATAAATCAAATCACATACCATGCTCATGGATAGGAAGAATAGTTAAAATGTCCATACTACCTAAAGCAATACATAGATTCAACGCAATTCCTATCAAACTACCAACAACATTTTTTACAGAAATAGAACATATAATCCTAAAGTTTATATGGAACCATAGAAGCACCTGAATAACTAATGCAATCTTGAGAAATAACGAAATGGGAGTTATCACGCTACCTGACCTTAAATCATATGCCTTTGCATTTGAATGACATATACTGTGTTAATTAGGGCAGGCTAACAAATGTGTGATATGTGTTCACTTGTTTTTATTCTGCCCTTTCAATGAAATGGAATGTACTTTGAAGATTATTGACACAGTCCTCTTAAGCTACTAAGTTTACATTTTAAAAAATGTATTTTGATTTTGTTAAATTGTATGGATCATGCTTAATTCTCATAAACCTCCCAGGTCTTTTATCCTTTATAATGTCTGATCCATGAGAGGACTAATGAAAGCAGATTTTCACATTCAGGATTCACCATGGATGACTGACTCATTTAGCTTATTCGTATTAGAGTGTAGTGGTCACCAGGGCTAGGGATTTGAGCCCCTCCATTGCAGCTGTCACAGAAGCTCATTGTATCTGGTATGTTGATAAGCACACCCAGTGATAATGCAAATTGGTGGTTACTACTGAAAAGAAATGAAGGTTTCATCAATGCAGATGAAAAATTGTACCTTTTATAGATTGTACCTTTTAGTTTTTGTGTATACTCCTTGATGCAATATAACGTAAGTTTAGCAATATTTTGGAAATATCCTAGAAAATTAATCTTTAAATGTGTTTTCCAGAAGAATTTAATGATTAATAAGGCAAAAGAAAATTGTTCATATTTATTCTGTGATTTTAGTAGCGATAGGATTGGAAGAGCAAAACAACCTAGATACATATATTCGTTCAGAATTTCATTATACTGACATCAAAGAGCAAGGTATTTTCAGATTTATAATTCCATAGTAATGGAGATGCACCTGGAAAGACTGGATCTGGTGAGATGGCTTCATGATTCCTAATGTCCCTTTTTGTTTAGTTGGTAATTCCATTAACTACTCAAGATGACTTGGACAAAGCTGTGGAGCTGCTGGACCGTAGTATTCATATGAAGAGCCTCAAGATACTACTTGTAATAAATGGAAGTACACAGGTATGAATTGGGATTTTTTTTCAGTAAGGATTGTAGGATTTATATGCCTGTATGCCTGTAAAAGTCAATATATGAAACATAGTTACATTCTATAATCATTGATATTTTCAATATGATTAAATGTAAATTTACACATTGTAATTGCTGTAGTTTAATATTCTCAAAACTATATATGCAAAATTACAAGTACTGTACATATGAAACTAATAAAAACAACTTGCGAAGAATTGTGTTTAAATAAAATTTCAAAGACTAGATTTGTTAAGACCCACAAACGATAAGAATATCTAGGTTGTTTTTGGTAGGCTAGAAGATTCTGTTTCAAGCCTTAAAGAGGAAGAATAGCATTAATCATCCTTTTTCCTTTGTAGGCTGCTAATTTAGAACCATTGCCATCACTAGAAGATTTAGATAACACAGTATTTGGAGCAGAGAGGAAAAAACGGCTTTCTGTAATAGGTAAGAAAGCTTGTGCCTGAATCATGAAATAGGTTTCTTCTTCATCCTTGAATGTAACATCTAAACATAACCCTGATAAAAAGCAGCCTATCTGTATACTCTAATTTATTTCGGTTAATTATGTTTTAGTGTCTCTTCCTTGAAAAATTATGTCAAGTATTACAGGACTAGCAATCTCCAACATATTTCTTTCTTTATATACCTCTAGGGTATTTTAATGCTTAACAAAGTAAAATTATTCAAAAAAATTTAACTGTACATATAAACTGAAGGGAAAAAATTGAAAGAAGTATTTTAATATATTAAAATTAATGGATGGACTAAGTTCATAAGCCTTTCTCTAAGTTTTAGTTAATGCCAAGAATGCTATCAGAATATGCATTGCTAAAATTATTCAGATTATGCTTTATTATTTATTAGTATTCAGTATTTGTCAATAATATATATTAATAATATACTGTTATAATTAAGCTTATGGTATAAAGAGAAATGGATCCTGTGTGCTGTTGTTTTAAAGGAGACCTGTTAGAAGGGCCTGGGCTAGGCAGAGGTGCTCCAAGCTCCCCAGTTCTGTGTATCTTCTTCCATTTGTATAAAAGATTGATAATGTACATTTTTATACGATAAGCAATAAATTGAGAGAATGCTTTTAAAGTACATTTTGCTTTTCAAACTAGAACACATGACTATTATTAATTATACATTTTTTCTTTAGTCCCTTTTCTTATCACATTACATATACCTTATCATTTTAAAGTAAAAAATTGCCAATTCATTTTAGTTACATTAGACACAAGCTAAATGTACTAAATTGACATTTTAAAATTCATTTTGAATTAAAATTATCCTGAATGCCTCACTCTTGTTCTACTAATATTCTTGTTTGACTTCATTGCCAGCGTAAGAAGAAACTGGAAATTGTAAAGTATAAAATAACTGGACTTTTATTGGCAGCTCTCTAAACATGGAATGGCTTTAATAGATATGACCATTATCTTTTTTTCTTATTTACTGACAATTATTCCTTTTAATTATTTTCATAAGAGCTAGCAGGAGGAAAAACTTCCTTTGCGATGGGAGTGTATGCTGGCATGGAGGTCTTGACCATTCTTAAAAATATGGGTTATCAAGTAAGGAGATGAAGAAATTTTCATAGCCTTTTTCTACCCTGTCTACCTTTAGTAATGAGTATATTGGTTTTCTTTTTTTAAACAAGACTATATGGAAGGAATAAAAATATTATTACAAAGCCTAAAGCAATGCCTGGCTTAAAGTTGAGTCCTTAATCATTTTAGAGGCAAGTGTAGAAAAGGATCTTTTATGCATGCCTCTTGGTAATCATTTTTTTCTCCCTATCTTATCACTAACAAATGCTGGCATATACATACAATAACTCATTTACATAATGCAGATACCTTGTTTGCTTTAAACCTGACTAGAACTTTCAATGCTCACATAACTTCCCTCTCATCTTTTTTATAGTTAATTTCAAAAAATTAGGAGAAAAGGAGAGGAATTGTGTTTATAAACATAGTATTATTTCTATAGAACCAAGTAAAAATAAAGTGGATTGTAGCCTAATGAGAGGTAATTAAGTGATTGATTAGATGAACTATATTAGATGCTCTGATCTTGTAAACTATGAAGAGATTTAAATTCCAGAAATATGGCTTGCCACAAAAACCTAATTTTAAGTACCCAGGAATACAATGCAGGACTCCAAATTGAAAGCACTTTAATATGTACTAAATGATTAAGCAATCGTCTCACTTCAAGTTTCTAAGGATCATGAGCAGGAATGGAAAGGACACCATGGCGTACACTGTGCAGAGCGTTTTACCATCACAGTACCCTCGCAAAGGAGGAATTTGTTGTATGTGTACAAGTGTGGAAACAGGTCATGGAGATTGGATAACTTTTCCAAAGACACACAGCTACATAAATAGACAAATAACTAGAATGGGGATTTAAACTTAGGTCTGATTCTAAAGCCCATATTCTTTCCACTGCATCATGATGCCTTCTGTAAATGACGTTAAAGAGTAACATACCTGTATACACGTGAACTTTGGATGTTGAGAAGCAGTGGCATTTATCTAAAAACCTTTATTGCATTATCAACCCTGTAATGCAGTTAGTTCTCAGCAGTCAGAAGAACTTACCACCTAATAAGCGTAAATGAATATTACAGTGAGGTTAGTAATTATAGTAAGGTGAGAGTTTAGAAAGTTATAAAAACATTTCAAGCTTTACAGACATGAATGTTTGATAAATTTTAATAAGAACTGGGTTTCAGTTGCTAAAATTATTGGTATAATAGTCCAGAAATTCTGCGTGTATATTTAATTAAAACAAAAATTTGCTCCATGCTGATACTTATAAAATCATGTAATTTTCTCCTTTTAGGTCCCACTAGTAGAGATCGAAGCTCCCCTCCCCCAGGATACATTCCAGATGAATTACACCAGGTTGCCCGGAATGGGTCGTTCACTAGTATCAACAGTGAAGGCGAGTTCATTCCAGAAAGTATGGACCAAGTAAGCAAAAGTTGGAGGTGGCTTTTTATTTCATTTAAAGCGATGTTGTCAAGGTCATTGTGGTTTGGCAGAGGTGTGTGTGTGTGTGTGTGTGTGTGTGTGTGTGTGTGACCTCTTCTCTAATCCCATATCTTCCTTCTTAAGTGAACAAAATTGTAAAAAATGTAGGAAAATGGCCACTAATTTCCACGTGCCTATGTGTATTCATGTATAAAGAAAACTGGAATGAGACTGATTTTCTTATATTGCTCATCCACTAATGAATGAATGCTTGTGCTTGTAAGCCTGGGATTAATATTCAGATTTTTAAATTAACATTTGAAAGATATAGTAAAGCTACACATATTAAACTTTGTGAAGGTGAGGTTTGTCAGCTTTCAAAAACATTTTTTTAAATTTTGTAGTATTGAAGTATTTCCATGGAGTTGCTGTTGTTTCCTTAATGTTGGCTGCTTATACTATTGCAGTTTTGTTTTCTAATTAAACACAGCTGTCACGGTGTCATTAGTCTCCATTTGGGTAGGACCTTTGTTCATTTTTCAGTCAGCAAAATTATGTGAAATTATTTCGCTAATAGTCCATAGGGAAAGAATATTTTTCTCTTAGGAAATTTGAAGTTGTAGCATACCCATAAGGGACCAACTATATTTTAGACATTTAAACATTAGTAACTGGGGGATGACTGCTGTTGGATATGGAGTTTCTTTTTGGGTATTGCAAGTGTTCTGAGTGTGGTGAGGGTTGCCCAACCCTCAATATACCAAAAACCGTTGACTTGTATACTTTAGGTGGGTGAATTTTATGTTACATGAATTATAGCTCAATAAAGCTGTTTTTAAAACAGTAACTTCTGGTTATATCACATCAAATCACTGTGGAACTCTATTTTTCTAGATGCTGGACCCATTATCTTTAAGCAGCCCTGAAAATTCTGGCTCAGGAAGTTGTCCATCACTTGATAGTCCTTTGGATGGGTAATGTTGATTGTAGCTTTTGTTTTTTAATATATGCGGGTAAATATGCATATATATATATATATGTATATATAATATGTTGAATTATCAACTCTTGTGCTATATTCAGAGGAGTGAGTGTAATTGATACTTGTCTATACTTAGTGCAAATGAATTTTTTTTACAGTTTGGATAAATCCCTTAACCTCATGGGGCTTAGTATCATTATTGGTTAAAATGATATCTGATTATAATATTTTGAGTATTTCTGCTTGCCAAAATTATGTGTTTGAAGCTAAATTCAAGCTTAGAATTTATGTAAGTTTACTTTTAAAACTGTGTTAGCAAAACTACTATCAAATTTTTTATTAGTATGTTTGGTTTTGGAGATTTCTTGAGTTGTTTCACCTTTGAGGATTATATTCATTCTGGCACCCAGTTATAAATAACTTACATGCTTGGTAGTTGTGGCCCAGTGTGTCAGTTGTGATGTAAAATTTAAGTGCTTCTGTTTTGTGAAATAGCAGTTCAGGAATATAAGGTGGGTCAAGTTGTAACTGAATTGTTAGGAGTGCTCCCTCTTTCCTGGTCTCATTTAGGACAGCGTTCACCTGTAGCACATAGTCAATATCTTTATTATTCTTTACCTGTTTAATGTCCTCAGGGATTGCTCTATGAAAACAAATTGTGAAAATATGAATAATATTGTATGGGAACATGCATTGAATTTTCTGTTACTGTGTACATGAATCCTTTGTTGTTGCCCACGTCTACCTCAAGATAGAATTTTAAAACATTCAAGAAATTCAGGGAAAGAGTTATGTGAGTAAAATGTATATACTTGAGTTGGAAATTATCTCCCTTTTATAAATGAGGAAATAGTCTTAGAAAGGTGATTTGCCAAGGTTGCAACAGCTAGTTAAGTGGCAGAGTTAGGATTGAAACACAGGTATTTCCAAACACCTGTAATTTCAAAGCATGTCATTTTTACCACTATACTCTGTGGGTTAATTTTAAAAGCCAGGCTTTTTGCCTGCATGTACCAAATAACTGTTTAAGAATTTTCTCTGTTTTTTATTTATGTTAACATTTCAGAGTGAGCACCTCTGTGTGTGTGTGTGTGTGTGTGTGTGTGTGTGTGTGTGTGTGTCTAATGTTTCCATATATACATACAGATAGGTATGTTATTGCATAAATATTTTTTAATATCTTATTTGCATGCTTTCTCTTACCTTAATGTGACATTTTCTACTTTTAGAGAAAGCTATCCAAAATCACGAATGCCTAGGGCACAGAGCTACCCAGATAATCATCAGGAATTTTCAGGTTAGACTATCTACATTCTAAATGTTTAAATGTTTTTGTCATTGAATAATGTTTTAGCTGGTGAGGAGAGGGGAATTGCATTTTAAATCAAATAAAAATGTGTAAATGTGTTTTTCATCATTTCAAATATTTGACTTTTTTATAACATATAGGTTTCTTATGTGTCTTTAATAGACTATGATAACCCTATCTTTGAGAAATTTGGAAAAGGAGGAACATATCCAAGAAGGTATCATGTTTCATATCACCATCAAGACTATAATGATGGTAAGTGCTGGCAGTTAGACCACAAGAACGGTTTGTGAAAATTCTCAAAAATATTCAACGAAAATTAAAATTTCATATTTAAATACCATTAGAAATAAATTTGTTCCTAAATCACTTAGTTTCTACCTAAATTTTTTTTTAAGAAATTGGGTCCTAACTACAGCTATACTAACGTCTTAGCTTTGTGCCAATTTACCTCATAATATTTATTTTTCCCTTAGAAGACAGGGAGTAATTTATAAATGATATTAATTAGAAAGTTACTCATAGATGAAATTCATAATATTGTAACCTATAAACTTCCTCCAATTTTTTTTTTAAGATTTTTTATTGGGGAATTGGGGGAGGGGAACAGCATTGGGGAATCAGGGAAGGGGAACAAACAAGCTGCTGTCCTTTTGTTCTTCAGTCTAGTTGTGGAGGATGTTGCTTCACTGGCCTATGTTGGTATTGTGATCATTGTGCTCTTCCCAGGTGAGGCAGATCGGTCGCTGGGCCTTGGACAGCCACTCATGGCGTCTCTTGGCAGCTCACGCCGGCTGCTGGACACTCATGCCGGCTGCCGGACACTCACGCCGGCAGCCGGACACTCACGGTAGCTTTACAGCAGCCCACTGCAGCCCCACTGCAGCCTACACCGTCGCCAGCGACTCACCGGCAGCCCAGCTCCAGATTGAGCTGTTGTTCACCATCATAGCTGTAGAGGGCGCAGCATCACTGGCCCTAATGTGGGATCCAAACCCCGGCCCTGCTGCTCAGAGCTGGCGTCCCAAGCCAACTCTTAACCAATGCGCCACTCGGCCAGCCCCCAATTTTTGTTTTATATTTTAAATCATTATTGGAAATGAGAGTAAAATATATTTTTTCTCCTTTTTATCCCAAAGTGAGGGAGTTCTATGATTTTACAAATGTGTGTGTATATATATGTTTTAACGTAAGAGATTATGTGAATTTATATTCCAATCCCTGTTTGTATTTTCCCTACTTTCATTTCTGCTTTCATCTTTTTTCTTCCTTGTATTCTCATTATTGACTTCATGACTCATAATTAACAAGGGTATTTCCTTGAACTTAAAAAAAAAATCATACTATTCTTAGTTTTAAAACATATAAGCAAATAATTATTGCTATTTTGGTTTCTTAGCCTAGTCACAGGACACATTTCTGTTCCTTACATTACAAATTTTAAATACATTCAATTACAACAATTAATAAAAGTTTTAATGTAATTATATTTTTGTGTGTAGGTCGTAAAACTTTTCCAAGAGCTAGAAGGACCCAGGGGACCAGCTTCCGGTCTCCTGTGAGTTTCAGTCCTACTGATCACTCCTTAAGCACTAGTAGTGGAAGCAGTATCTTTACCCCAGAGTATGATGATAGTCGAATAAGAAGAAGAGGAAGTGACATAGACAATCCTACTTTGACTGTAATGGACATCAGCCCACCCAGCCGCTGTAAGTAATAGAAATTGGCATAGTGAAATATATAACAGAACCTTTGCAGAATTTTATAGTATTAAAAGAAAGAAATACCAAGCCATTCCTCAGTGAGATCAGCTTCTCAAAAGAGGTAAAAATGGTATTTCCAAAGGTGATTGGAATGTCAGGTATAAGCATAGTATTACTGCTAGTTACTTTTCAGCGGTTCTCAACCTGTGGGCCGCGACCCCTTTGGGGTTCGAACGACCCTTTCACAGGGGTCGCCTAAGACCATCGGAAAACAAAAAGATATTTACATTACGATTCATAACAGTAGCAAAAATACAGTTATAGAGTAGCAATGAAAATAATTTTATGGTTGGGGGTCACCACAACATGAGGAACTGTATTTAAGGGATCGCGGCATTAGGAAGGTTGAGAACCGCTGCTTTAGATCATTTTGTCTTTCACTTTTATTAGGAAAATTGTTACTGATTAGTTATCCATTCATTAATTGCATGTATCCTTGTTGAGTTCCTGCACTGAGATTTCAAATACAATCTCTAAGATGTAGTCTAATTGGGAGAATGATGTGTGGAGAAGTAGTTGTGTTATGGCATTTAGTCTAATCTTGAATGTGAATACGAACGAATTCACCAGTTAAGGAGGTAACAGGTATAGGCCATGGCATGTTCTGAAATTGGGTAATAGTTCATTTTGGGCTGAAATGGAGGATATCTTACTTGAAAGGGTAGGAATAGGACTAGAGTGGTAACTAAGGCCGTGTAAGTATCATGTAAGCCACGTATGCAGAGACTGCAGAAGTATTTGCATACTCTGACTTCCTCCCTTTGTGCTAGTGTTGTCATATTTTACTTTCACATCTGTGAACTCACACTACATTGCTACTGTTTTTGCTTTAGGCAGCTATCTTTTAAAGTGATTAAAAATAAGGGAAGAAACGTCTTTTATACATATACCTTTATCTATTTCTATAGATCATTATTTATGTAGATCCAAGATTCTGTCAGGTGTCAAATTCCTTCTGCCTGAATAATTACTTTAACCTTTCTTATAATACAGCTCTGCTGGTAATAAATTTTTTCATCTTGTGTTTGTTTGAAAAAGATATTTATTTCTCCTTTATTTTTGAAAGATTTTTTTTATGGGTGTAGAATTTGGGGCAGTTTTTTTTTCTTTCAGCACTTTAAAGCTATTTCTCCATTGTTCTGGCTTGTATACTTTTCGAGAGTATGCTGTAATTCTTATCTTTGTTCCTCTCTCTGTAGTTTGATTTTTTTCCCTCTGGCTGCTTTCATGATTTTTTCTTGTTAGAATGAGAGTGATGCTCTTTCCAGCTTTCTACATCATAGGCAGCTGGGAAACTAATTATGTATGTTGCTACAATAAAGATTAGAAATAGGGCATCTTAAATCAGTGGCATCTTAGATTGAGTCCAAGATAACGTTAACATTTGTAACCATGAAAAAATAATTTCAGTGGAAAAATGAGTTATGGAATTATGAACCTTCTTTGGGTTTAGAATTCTTAGAAAATTGACTGAAGAGAAAAATTTGTAAAGATGATGATTATGAACTTGGATGATCATGATTTTTCCTTATATCCAAACGTACACAGTTAAGGATATCACTAATGCAGCATAGTCATTTAGTCCTTAACAATTTTTGTGCCATCTGGTTATTCCATTTTAAGAAAATATTCTTTTTTTAGCACCGCGGGCTCCAACCAACTGGAGACTGGGCAAACTGCTTGGCCAGGGAGCCTTTGGCAGGGTCTACCTCTGTTATGATGTGGATACAGGAAGAGAGCTGGCTGTAAAGCAAGTTCAGTTTGACCCCGATAGCCCTGAGACCAGCAAGGTAAGAATCACTGTACACACAAAAAAAGCATTTTTACTAAAATAAATGTAACACAGTAGAATTTTGTATTTTCCCTTAATACAAATTATTTGCAAAACAAATAGATAATTAGATATGTTTATCTACTTCGTACTGTGGATTTTTCTTTTTTAATACTCAGTTATGTTCCTAATCTGATTTAGTGTTGCTTTAGCATACTGTCAAGGACTGTTATACAAGTTATTGTTTAAAGACTTTAAAATATTTATTCCTTAGGAAGTAAAAATTTCAGAATGAAGTCACCTTGATGATCCATGAAGTTCGAATTTTTTGCTTTTACTAACAGTGCTGTAAAGACTTCACAGTGAGTTTTGTCTTTCAGGAAGTAAATGCACTTGAGTGTGAAATTCAGTTGTTGAAAAACTTGCTGCATGAGCGAATTGTTCAGTATTATGGCTGTTTGAGGGATCCCCAGGAAAAAACACTTTCCATATTTATGGAATATATGCCAGGGGTAAGTTAGTATACCCTTTGAAAATAGACATACTCTATTTGAAGTCTTAGTTGAGGAAAGAAAAACAGTAAAACTTTGATTATAAAATGTTATACCTAGTTAAGGACATTTTGGAAGAGTTTTAAATCAGAGCTGGGTAATACAATTTTATTTTCTATCTTTATCTGTGTATTTTTTAACTAATTTTTTTAAAATGCTGAAATATACTAAAATAGCTTACAGATGTCATAGCAGCCCATATTCAGATTTCCCTGAATGCCTTAAAAATATCCATAATGGCTGGTTTATCCAAACCAGGATCCAATCTAGGACCACATATTACATTTAGCTGTTATATCCCTTACTCCCATTTTAATCTAGAGCAGTTTTTACATGACATAGATTTGACAAATAGACCAGGCTAGTTCTGTTGACAATTTCATCTCATAGATTTCTCTATTGCATCTTCATGGTGTTGTATACCCTGTTCCTTTATCCCCGTATTTCCTATATACTCTATATAAGTAAGATCTAAAGTCTAAATTAGATTCAAATCCAACCTTTTTTATTAGAAAGCATCATAGATGGTGCTGTGCACTTCATGTTGCATCCCATCAGGAGACACACATGTCTGGCTGTTCCATTGCTGTGATGCTGAGACTGATGCCAGATCAGGTGCTTCACATCCCGGTCCCCGCATTGTAAAGTTTTGTTTTTTCCTGAAGACCAGAAAGTAGTATGAGCTATAGCAGTGGCTCATGAGAATATCCAGTTCCTTTTCAGCCAGTCACCTAATGTTTTGAACATGATTGATAATCGTTGTCTGAGTCAATAATTTCATTAGGAGCTGCAAAATGTGATTTGTAAACTCTGTCATTCCTTTGATGTTATCTTTAGTATTTGTATAGTACATTCTAATACTAATGATTTTCAAGATGGTGGTATATTTACTCATTTAAAAATACATGCATTCCCATAATTTGATAGACAGTATATGTTTGAAAAAAAGTTTGATTTATGGCTCTTTAAGGGAATAGCTTATTAGAATTGTATGTAGAATGTACAAGGTTGCACTTCAAATTTATGGATTAATAAAACTGTAAATCAACATCTGATAAGAATGGTCTTAACTATCCTCAGTTTCACAACTTTGTTTCTTTTCATCGTGAATTATTGTTTATAGTGACACCACTGTTATTCATCATTGCTACTTTTTATTTTCAAAGGCTCTGTTTGCAGTTTAACTTGGTTTAAAAAAAATCCCTTTTTGAAAACAAATTGGTAGGATATATTAAAGGCCATAAAAATATTGAAGCCTTTTGACCTGGTAATCTCACAGAAATTTATTCTATATAAGTAATCCAAAAGAAGGAAAGAGCTGATACATTTATTTTAGTATTGTTTGGAAATTCATTGCCCATGGTGGAAGTAAATTATGATGGCATTGTCCAAAAGAATATATGTTAAAAATTAAAATTGTGAAGGCTGTGTAGCGAAGTTCAAGGAAGTACTTAGAATAAGAGAGAGAGAGAAATAATATAAAATGCTTTTTAATAATGATTATGATGTTTAAGAAGTACCTGTATTTGCACAAGGACAGAAAAAACTTAGAAAATGAAAATGTGTTATGTTGGGATTGTGATCAATTTTTCTCTTTCATTCAGATTTCCATTACTGTTTGTGCAATAAATGTTCAAATTAAAATAGAAAATAATTATGAATAAGTGTGACTAGAGACTCAGATTGTTGAAAATAATATTACCTGTATTTAAAATGGTTAATTGGTTACAACTGGTTTATATCACAAATGGAGATGGGTAATCCTTCTGTATTTAGCAACCTAAGACTAAACCTGGGCTATTCGGGTTTAGATCATTGTTTCTCGTTAGCTACCATTGGTTTTGTAAGGGCAGCTATGTCTTCAAAGTATAAATCGCCATTCCTTAAATTTGAAAACCATGTTACCAAATTAATAATAGTTTATTGACAATCTAAATGAATTGTACATATGGCAAACCTGTGGCATATGTGGGCTGGGCATACATGTTCCTAGACTTTCCTGAATCTCCATGTTTGTGAATGATGCTATATAATTTCTCTTATTAAATTTAGTGTTGGACTCCTTCATGCCTTAGATTCAAGCTTTGCCAAAATTGTCATTCCATTCTTCAGTTTTCCCAAATGTAGCATTTCATTCCCTAATTTATCTAGAAGTACTTTCAAACTAGAACCGTAACTTTCTTTTATTTTCAGTACCTGAACCAGCAGTTGATTTCTCTGTTACTTTTACACACACTCACACTCACACTCACACTTCTTAGCTGGCACAGTGCTTCCTAACACACATTCTACTTGTTCACGCAGACGAAGATAACATTTTATGGTACACAGAGGGGAACAGACTATACTACTGGATCTGTTAGAACCATAGGCCACTGGCCCAGTTCTCTGAGGGCTTAGAAGATCCATAAGCCCATCACTCATTTGCAGCCAGCAAGTGTTTGGGGCTTATTGGTTGGAGAGCTCAGTTCTGGCTGTGTTATTTTGTGTATTACTACAAGGAGAGGCACAATAAATAGACTGAATAAAGAAGCCACATTGACTAATATAATAGATGTGGGTGGTTGGTTGGGTTCCCTCACTGCTGAAGGCTTTCCACACTTGTCTGCAAGGTCGGGTCAGTAGGATTGCATCTTACTGTTCCTTCAGGGGTTGCTCGTGCATAGTGGACACAACAAGTGATTAAACCTGTAAAATCCAAGGACCTACTTTATATTACAGAGTACACAGTTTACTGAAATTCAAGGAAATGCAGAAACATTATATCATATTTTTGTTTAAAAGGAAGATTTTTGTCCCTCAGGAAGCATTTTATTTCCATCCTTTAAAGTGGTTGATTATTCATCAGATTTGTACACTGGAATCAGTAGGAAAGCTTTTGCAAAATTCAAGTGCCTGTGTCTTAACTCAGCCTGATTTCAGCATTCTCAGAGATGGCACCTCATTCTGCCTTAAAAATACTTAAGAAAATTTGAAGCTCCTCTTTGATATATTTTCTTATGTTTTGAACTAAAATGTTGAGTATATAAAGGAAAAACTTAAAAATTTCATGTGTTCTGATTCTCTAACATACCTCTTCACCCATTCTTTCTCCCGAGAAGTATATTAGCAGATATCAATAAAACAGTGTTTTAAAAGCAGAAGAAGAAAAAACTAAATAAAATTAAAGTAGGACATATGTAGAAGAGCAAAATAGAAAAAACAAAAATATATTCCAGGCAAAAAAGAACCAACATAAAAGTACTGGAGAATTTTTAGAAACACAGTTGCAAGGAATAGGAGATAGAACCAACAGAGTCATAGAAACAAGGGTATCTGTCAAAAAACAGTTTTAAAGGCTTCCTTCAGCTGTGACCCATACTCTTCCATAGTTCTAGTCAGGGAATATATAAGAGTTGTACGAGTATGTAAATGACATGGCATATAACATCCTTACTGAGAATTCTTTTGCATCCCAACTAAAGAATTGCCTCCCACTCTTGAACTAGGATTCTTTTAAAAATACAGATTTAATAATGGTTTTCATTGCAAACCATACTATAGTTTTCTTTTATTTTCTTTTAGGGTTCAATTAAGGACCAATTAAAAGCATATGGAGCTCTTACTGAGAATGTGACTAGGAAATACACCCGTCAGATTCTGGAGGGTGTCCATTATTTGCACAGTAATATGATTGTTCATAGAGATATCAAAGGTAAGTAATGAGGTTTTTTTTATTTTAAGTACACAGTTCTTTTTTTTGTGAATGTGGATGAAACAGGTGATATGATTAAGACATTTAACGTTTAGGAGTGGCAGGCTGGCTCAGTTGGTTACAGCGTAGTGCTCATAACACCAAGGTTGCCAGTTCGATCCCCACTTGGGCCACTGAGATGCACCTCCACAACTAGATTGAAAACAACTATTTGACTTGGAACTGATGGGTCCTGGAAAAATACACTGTTCCCCAATAAAAAGAAAAGAAAAGAAAAGAAATTTAACGTTTAAATTAATACATCTACCTTTAAAATACCATAGGAAAACAATTCTGCTTTCTTAATGGCTCAGTCAGTTTTCCAAGTAGTCCTGATGTTGAGGTCTCCACAACTGAGTAGCTCCCCTGTGAGGGTTCACAGAATCAGTAAAGTTCAAATGATCAGAAAAATGAGACCATGTTTCTGTACACAGAGCATAGGCATTCAAATACAGTGGTTAAGAGAAGGGGCTGTGACGTAGATGGCCTGATTCAAATTTGGGCTTTACCTATCATTAATGGTGTGACCTTGGACAAGAAACATAATTTCTCTATGCCTCAGTTCCTCATTTAGGGAGGGAGATAATAGTATCTAACACAAAAGATTCTTGTAGGATTAAATGAGTTAATGCGTATATAATATGCTTGAAACAGTGCCTGGTACCTAGAAAGCATTCAAAAGTTAGCTATGATAATGACATACTTTATGTTGAGATTATATTTAATTAAAGCCATTGCAATGGATGTCACTACCTAAGGAGAGAGTAAGAAGAGAGAAAAAGAGAGCCTAAGACTGAGCTTTGATGAACTTGAACTCAGTTAAGCTCACTTTTTAAAACTCTCCTGTTTTTAGGGATCAGGTATGTAAGATAAGTGCATGAAGAGAGACAAAAGCGAGTGGTAGAGATGTGTAAAATTTGAGAGTGCTTAAAACTCTGTACTGCAAAGCATACCTTGGGTTTGATTCTATAAAAACTGAGGTTTAATTTTATGAAAACTGAAGTTTGGTTCTATAAAAATTATGTTGTGACCCCAAATCACTTCAATCAATTGATAAAAATAATGAAAACACACAGAAATACATAAATAATAAAAATTTATTTATTATTTTTCTGTGGAGGGATCTTCTTTCCCAGAGACCACTGAAACCTCTTTTTTTAAAAAAAGATTTTATTGGGGAATTGGGGAAGGGGAACAGCCAAGTTGTTGTCCTTCAATCTTAGCTGTGGAGGGCGCAGCTAGCTCAGTTCTAAGTCCAGTCTCCATCCAGCCGCCTGTCGGCAGCTCACAGCCGTTCAGCTCAAGGTGCTGTGTTCAATCTTAGTTGCAGGGGGGCGCAGGCCACATCCCATGCAGGAGTTGAACTGGCAACCTTGTTGTTAGCAGCATGTGCTCTCACCAGCTGAGCCATCCTGCCACCTGTTGGCAGCTCAGTGACAGCTCAGCTCGGGCGCAGCTCAGTGGCCCATGTGGGAATCAAACTGGCGACCCTGTTGCTCAGAGCTTGCTCTTTTAACCAACTGAGCCACTAGGCCAGCCCCTATATTTAACATTATTAAGGAGTTATTTATCCATCCTGTTAGGTAGAGTAAGAGTCATTATTATTATTATTATTTTTTTTTACAGTGAAAATTTTTTGTTTAGAATTAGCCAGCTGGACTCAGTTTAGATGATCCTAATTTTGTTGCCAACATCCAAAGCCTCATAGTAAGGAGCCAGTGGAACATATGCCTTCTCTCTCCATCAGGCCTGATCAGGTTGCTGACCTTGGCCACATCAATGTTATAGAGCTTCTTCACAGCCTGTTGGATCTGGTGCATGTTGGCCTTGACATCAACAGTGAACACAACTGTATTATTGTCTTCTATCTTCTTCATGGCCGACTCAGTAGTTAGGGTGAACTTGCCGATGGCATAGTGATAGAGCTTGTTTCTCCTGGGGGCGCCTTGCCCAGGATATCTGGGCTGCCTTTATAACCGCAGTGTTTTGGGACCTCAGAAGGTGGGGGACGTGAGGGTCTTCTCTTTCTGTGACTGTGGAAGCTTTTCAGCACTGCTCTCTTTGCTTCCAAAGCCTGTGCTTTAGCTTTGGGAAAGGCAGGGGCTTCCTTCTTCGCTTTCGATGCCATCTTCATGAAAAGGCAAGAGTCCTTTTAAAGATACGTACTGAACTATTTATTGATCATGATGACTTGACTTTGCTTCCAGTATGTGAGGCAGGAAGAGGGGAGTGGCTGGCAGAATGGTTGGGGATGATTGTCCAGATGGTTGTTGGGACTGGGTGATGGGTACTATCCTATTCTACCTGCTTTTGTGTATGTTTGAAAAATCTCCTTAATAGCTTCCTTTTAAGGTATCCAAAATAAGTTTTAAAAAATTAGAAAATTGTATTGGGAACCTGGCTACACATTTTCTCCTCAGCCCTTCTTATGGATGGGTATTGGTTCAACATTGGTAATTAATCCCCAGAGATAGCTTTCCCTGTCTGTGACCTGCCTGGACTGTTCCTTCCCAGCTTGTAGCCAGTAAAATCTGGCTTGTTTGTTGTCCTTCCCCTGGTTAAATATTTTAGAGATAGCGACTTTTTTTTTTTTTTACAGAGTCCTTTAAGTATTGCTCAGTGGGAGATGTTAAATGGGGTAGATAGTGCTATTTTAAAGACACGGTACTGTGTCTCCCTTAGGCTTGAGACAGGCAGAGAATGGATCCTGTACGCTCCCCTGGTGAGAGGCTGGGGAATTTGCTGGGAGAACCAAATGCCAAATACAGAAGCTCACGGTGGGGATGGATAGTCCATAGTCTCCTCTAGTCTATAATGTTAGCTTCTCTCCACTATTCACTCTTCTTCTTAGAGGCCATTAAAAAAAAATGAATAAGAGGACAAATAATTTTTTTAAAAATTTTAAAAAAATACAAAATATAGTTAAGGTTACAGAGACTTAAAAATAAGAATTGAAGTTTAAAAATTAAAATTAGATAAGTTAAAATAAATTGCTTCTTAAAAAACAGGTAGTTTATAGGAAAAGTTAAAAATGAGAATAGAAATAATTTATATAAGACAGAAACTAGACTTATAATCCCAGAAAAAAAGATTAAGTTTAAAAAACGATAAATGAAGAGGAAAGTAGAGAATAAAAAATAAATGAACTTAGCACCTGGGTCTTGATTTCTGATACCATTCTCCATTAAAAGGAACTAGGGCTCCTTGGAGAAATGGCTGATTCTAGGACTGGGGCAGGAAATACACAAGTTGAGCCTGAAGCATCTCATAGTGATGAAAGTAAGAAAATGCTAAACAAACAAATAAAACAACCAAAACTAAACCAGAACACAATGATGGGGTTATAGCAAAGGGACACAGGAGCCAACAGAAAGATTTCCCAATGACTACAGCTGAAACTTGAGCAAAAAAACCAAAACAATGATACTGGTGTATAACCCAATGTATGACATAAATGCCCATGTATTCATACTCGTAAATAAATGGTTGAATACGTAAATGGAAGAGAAGAGACAAATCTCCTGTGCAGAATCATTCCAAACAATTTATGTATCTACTCAACCTGGAGCATAACTCCTGATTCCTTAACTGGGGGCTGCATAGAGTGAATTTCTCCCAGAGTACAGCAAAGAATGGGGAAGAGTTAACTTCACAGTAGAGAATCAGCAAACACTGAAAGCCAGGCGATCAAGGTCAGTTTATAATATTAATAAATAAAATTAAAAGTTTATTATGAAAGTAAATGAAATTTTAAAACAGCTCAAACTTGCTTAGAAGAGATTTAAAATATACAGAAATTGAGAAGTAAAATTGAAAGTAAAGCAAAACCCAATATTAAGAAGAACTATAAAATGTAAGATAACTAACTTTAAGTTATAGCATGGGGGGGAATACTACAGTAGTTTATTTTTTTCTAATTACAGTTGATATTCAGTGTTATATTAGTTTCAGGTATATACCATAGTAACCACCAGTGATGCCCCAGTAAGTCTAGTACCCACCTGGCACTATACACAGTTATTACAATATTATTGACTATATTCCCTATGCTTTACTTTACATCCCTGTGACGATTTTGTAACTGCCAATGTGTACTTCTTAATCTCTTCCCCTTTTTCACCCATCCCTCAACCCCCTCCCATCTGGCAACCATCGGTTGGTTCTCTGTATCTATGAGTCTATTTCTGTTTTGTTTGTTCCTTTATTTTGTTTTTTAGACTCCACATATAAGTAAAATCATTTGATATTTGTCTTTCTCTGTTTGACTATTTCACTATTTCACATGTTGTAGCAAATGGTAAGATTTTGTTCTATTTTATGGCTGAGTAGTATTCCATTTGATATATATGCCACATCTTCTATATCCAGTCTTCTATTGATGGGCACTTAGGTTGCTTCCATATCTTGGCTATTGTGAATAGCGCTGCAATGAACATAGGGGTGCATATATCTTTTCAAATTAGTGTTTTGGATTTCTTCGGATAAATACCTAGAAGTGGATTTAATTGCTGGGTCATAAGGTAATTCTATTTTTAATTTTTCAAGGAACCTTCATACTGTTTTCCATAGTGGCTGCACCAATTTGCAATCCCACCAACAGTGCACGAGGGTTCTCTTTTCTCCACATCCTTGCCAACACTTGTTTGTTGATTTACTGATGATAGCCATTCAACTGACAGGAGTAAGGTGGTATCTCATATGGTTTTAATTTCCATTTCTCTGATGATTAGTGATATTGAGCATCTTTTCATATATCTGTTGACCATCTGTATGTGCTCTTTGGAGAAATGTCTGTTCAGTTCCTCTGCCCTTTTTTTTTTTTTTTTAAAGATTTTGTTGAGAAATTGAGGAAGAGGAACAATGTTGGGGAATTGGGGAAGGGGAACAACGAAGTTGTCCTTTAATCTTAGTTGTGGAGGGTACAGCTAGCTCAGCTCCAAGTCCAGTTGCCATCTGGCCGCCCATTGGCAGCTCAGCTCAAGATGCTGTGTTCAATCTTATTTGCGGGTGGGCATAGCCCGCCATCCCATGCGGGAGTGAACCGGCAACCTTGTTGTTAGGAGCACATGCTCTCACCATCTGAGCCATCTTGCCACCTATTGGCAGCTCAGCGGCAGCTCAGCTCGGGCGCAGCATCACTGGCCCACATGGGAATTGAACTGGCAAACCTGTTGCTCAGAACCTGCGCTCTTAACCAACTGAGCCACTCGGCCAGCCCCTCTGCCCATTTTTTAATTGAGTTTGTTTTTTGGTATTAAGTTGTTGAGTTCTTTATAAATTTTGGATATTAACCCCTTATCAGATGTATCAGTGGTGACTATCTCATTCAGTAGGATGCCTTTTAGTTTTGTTGATGATGTCCTGTGCTGAGCAAAAGTTTTTAGTTTGATGTAGTTCCATTTGTTTATTTTTTCTTTTGTTTCCCTTGCCCAAGGTGATATATCTAAAGGCATATTAGTAGTGAAAGTTTTGATTATGAAGGTCCCTCAGGAAGTTCCGTCTCATGGGAATCAGCTTCAGCCATGAGCTTCTTGCTTTATGACAGAAAAACTGGGCCCAAGAGTCCGCTGTTGCTTCCCATTCTCCTCTGGGCTTCAAATTCTTAGCCCTTTCCCCTTTTTCTTTTTTTTTTTATCCTCATCTCCCACCACACCAGTCCTTTTTAGTGTGAGAGCCTTCTTCGGTTCTAAAGCACATACCTGACTCTAAAAATTCAGTGTTCATGTAGTAAATTCCTAATGAGCACTGACTGTGTGACTGGCATTGTGACAGGTATTGTTTGGATGATGAAAAGCAGCCTAGTTTTGGAGACAGATAGTCTACTAAATCTAAATCTCTGCCGTAGTTCTTTTATATTATATTCCAAACTGCCAATAAAAATAATAAAATGAGAATTTTTCTTATTTTTAGGAGCAAATATTCTGCGAGATTCAACAGGCAATGTAAAACTAGGAGATTTTGGGGCCAGCAAACGGCTTCAAACCATCTGTCTTTCGGGTACGGGAATAAAGTCTGTCACAGGCACGCCATACTGGATGAGCCCTGAAGTAATTAGTGGAGAAGGCTATGGCAGAAAAGCAGATATCTGGTAGGTTTTGATGCAGGGTTTGCCTGAAAATACCTGCCTTCTTACTTATTTCTACCCAGGATGCAAATTACTGAGCCAGATTTCAACTGTCTTTTGTAGTTTTGAAATAGGGTGTCAGGATTACAAGAATTAATATTGTAATTATGCCTCTTTGAAGCTTAATCAGCAACTGAATAAGTAGTTCTTGAATCTGTCTTCCATTCTTTAGGAAAGATTTCTTCTTAAGCAAACTTCAGCACTAGAAAACTTATCTTCATTTTATTTCCCTAAAGAACTTGAAAAGTAATTAATCTTTATCGCTAGTCTCTTATAATTCAGTTAATCTTTAATTGCTTAATAATTTTAAGTTAGAGCATAAAATAGGCATTTCCTACTTCCCACCAGAAAAGTTTTTAATTTAATTTAATTTTAATTTAAGATATTCATTTTAGGACCTAAAGGCAAACAAAGAATTTCTTATGTTTGTATTTGTAAAATAAAAGAAAAAAAATGATATATCAGGTTAGAGAATTACATAAAGTAAAAATTATAAAATGAATAATGTTCTTTGTTTAACCATTTGAGCCAGTCCTTATATTGGGGTTTATTTTCATTGATTTTTATGTTTAAATCACAATGTTATATAATTATAACCTTTTAAAGAACCTACACTTGAAATCAAGTCATATTTATGATGTGTGACAATTAAGTTCACGAACTCATTGCAACGATGTTACTAACCTTTGTTTTTGATATCAGAGGGATTATTCATTATGAATTTATACCAACTGGACAAACAGTTAACCACGTTTATTATTAGGAAGTGCTGAAAAGGCTGTGTGAAAAAGTTAGACGACCTGAACTTTTTGCCAACAATTCATGGCTCTTGCATCATGACAATGCACCAGCCCACATGGCACTGTCTGTGAGTGCATTTTTAGCCAGTAAACAGATAACTGTATTGGAACACCCTCCCTACTCAACTATCTGGCCCCCAATGACTTCTTTCTTTACCCGAAGATAAAGGAAATATTGAAAGGAAGACATTTGGATGACAGGACATCAAGGGTAATACAACAACAGCTGTGATGGCCATTCCAGAAAAAGAGTTCCAAAATTGCTTTGAAGGGTGGACTAGGCGCTGGCGTTGGTGCATAGCTTTCCCAAGGGAAGTACTTTGAAGGTGACTGTAGTAGTATTCAGCAATGAGGTATGTAGCACTTTTTCTAAGATGAGTTCGTGAACTTAATTGTCCAACCTCGTAAGTGTATATGGACTTCACTCTTGTTTCTCATTTTGTAGTTAACTGGCTTTTTTTCATGACGATATTGTTTATGTAATGTATTTATAAAATTTCTTTTTAGGAGTGTGGGCTGTACTGTGGTAGAAATGCTAACGGAAAAGCCTCCTTGGGCAGAATTTGAAGCAATGGCTGCCATCTTTAAAATTGCTACTCAGCCAACAAATCCAAAGCTGCCACCTCATGTCTCAGACTATACTCGAGATTTCCTCAAACGGATCTTTGTAGAGGCCAAACTGAGACCTTCAGCTGATGAACTTTTAAGGCATATGTTTGTGCATTATCACTAGCAGCCAGTAACCTCTCCTGTGCCTCTACCTAGCTCCCATCTATTCATTTACCTTCTCTCTGACTGCACTTTTCTTTTTTATAAAAAAGAGAGATGGGGGAGAAAAAAGACAAGAGGCAAAGTGTTTCTCTTGATTCTTGGTTAAATTTGTTTAATAATGATAGTAACCTAAATTTTTTATATTTAATCTTATTTTCCCTTACAAGAACTTGAAACTTTTTTTTTTTAATTTTTATAATGTACTGATGTGGTTCAGATAGATAAAGCACTTTAGTACATAGTCACTCTTTTTAGTACCAACAAATCATTTGGAATACCTAAAGATTGTAGAGTCTTTTCTGTGTCACTCACAGATTGGTGGTGATGGGGAGACATGGAAAAGGAGAAGAAAATGATGTATAGTTTGTAGTTTTTAGTGATAGTATTTAAAATAGATCCTCATTTGTGGGGTTGAGCCCTAAACTTCAGTTTAGGGTAGGTACTCAACTTAAAGAATATAGGTTCCTTCTTTTATCTGTATTCTTTAGATCCTACCCTCTGTTTACCAATCTTTTTGCTCAGTATGAATCTTGATAACAAATATGAATCTCTAAGAGGTATGTTTATTTGTTAATCCTAACCAGTATAATAAGCAAATACACTATAGAAGATCCATGTTACTGGAATCTATAAACCTTGAGGAATAGGGTTCTGTTTTTTTGTTTGTTTTTTGTTTTTTAAAGATACTGTCTTATTTTAAAACAGGGGAAGTCAATGAGCAAATCCAAATTAAAAGACAAAAAGAAGTTGCTCTAGTTAAATGTGTGAACAGAAGAGACCACACTTGCCAATCAACAGAAATAATGAAAAGAACTAAGTATTGTTTAGTGTATTTTAAACTATGTTCTTTACCTGAGGGAGAAAGTCCTAAAATTAAGGGAAAGGAGAAATAATCAAAATAAATCTTCCTATTTTCCAGCTCCTGAGTCCCCATAGATGACATTTTTTTTAGGAACTAAGAGTTTAACCTGGAGTATCCATAAAGCTAGTGTCATGAGATAAAACCCTTGCTTTGGGATCACAGAATACTAAAGCACCACACACAAAAACCAGCTTCTTATGTAAAACAGTGGTTCTTAAGGGTGGAGTGGGGCTAATTTCTCTTGTCATTTGCAATGCCTGGAAACATTTTTGATTGTCACAACTCGGAGGATGCTAGTGGCATCTAGTGAGTTAGAGGCCAGGGATGCTGCTAAACAAACTGCTGTGTACAAGGACAGCACCCCCCCCCCCAACAAAAAATTATCCTGCCCCAAATGTCAGAAGTGCCAAAGTTGAGAAACCTTGTTGTAAAGACCAGCCCCAGTTGTAAACTGATAACAGCCATTTACAAAGCAAGTTCCTTGCAAAAAAGTAAATTTCAGAGAGAAAGTAATGTAATGCATAATGAGGGTTTTACAAGAGCAGATACCATTATTTCAAGTCAAGAGTGAATGATCTCAACACAAATGAGAATCCCGTTTTTTACCAGCTGCATATTGCACCCAAATCAGTAACTTCCATTTTAGAAACAAAGTGAATTTAAATTCTGAACTTAGCCATCTATATGTATTCTTTCTTCAAAAGCCAGTTGATAATTGTGGGGAAAGAAAAGCATATCAAAACAAAGTATTAACTACTTTATAGAAGATTAAAAACTGTCAGGCATTTCTAGTATAATGTATCCACTGAGAGCAAGGACATTGAATGGAAGGGGACAGCTGGGAGAATTCTACTATCTCCAGTGGACTTGTGCTACTGAAAAACATGAATGATTATCAGTAATTCAGCCACTTGCAGTTTTTTTCAAAATATTAAAGCAAGTGCTAAGTACTTTTATTTTTAAAGGTCTAGTGCAGCAGTTCTCAACCTTTCACAGGGGTCGCTTAAGACCATCGGAAAACACATATTTTCGATGATCTTAGGAACCGAGACACCGCTCCTCTGTCCATCTCCAGGCCCACATGCAGATATGCACACGTTACGAGTACCCGGTGACCCCTGTGAAAGGGTCGTTCGACCCCCAAAGGGGTCGCGGCCCACAGGTTGAGAACCGCTGGTCTAGTCTTCCTAGAGGCCCTAAATGGGATGCCTTTCATGGGATTCACAGGGGACTTGGGTATTTTGTTTCCTGCCAAAGGTATGCTCTTTTGAGACTCTTGTAAAATACTGTAGATCTTGGTTTACTGTTTCTATCTGGGATTCCTGTAGGAAATTTGAAATTCCACTACTAGCTAGTCTGAGAAGAAGTCAGCAGAAACACAGTTGTCAAAGCTTCTCCCATACCCTTAAAATAAAAGGAAGCAGTTCACCAGGAAGCATACAACCCTCTCCCCCTGGAAAATCAGCTGTCACATTTTGTGCCATAAACATAGTCCCCAAGGATATGGATCTGTTATAATAATTTATTTTTTATGAGTGAAAGCATCTCTTCTACTTGAGCAAGATTATGGTCTTTGGACCTGTGGGCTTTTCCTTTGTTGTCTTTCTCTTGTGTGGTTGTGATTGCCTTTTGGCTCATTTTTTTATCTGTCAGGGTAACCAGCAGTGCAGAATATGAGACAAATGCTCTTTAGGGAAAAATCTTGGGAGACTGTGACCCAAAGCAAAATTGTTTTCTTTTTTTAAAGATTTAATTGGGGAATTGGGGGAGGGGAACAGCGTTGGCGAATTGGGAAAGGGGAACAGACAGGTAGACAAATTGCTGTTTTGTTCTTCAGTCTAGTTGTGGAGGACGTCGCTTCACTGGCCCATGTTGGTATGATCATTGCGCTCTTCCTGGGTGAGTCAATCGTTTGCTGGTCATTGGTCGGCTGCTCACGGTGGCTCACGGCAGCTCTCGTCCGCTGCCGGCTGCTCACGCTAGCTGCCAGCCTCTCACGTAGCTCATGGCAGCCCACTGCAGCCCTGCTGCAGCCTACGCCGTCGCCGGCGATTCACAGCAGCCCAGCTCCAGGTTGAGCTGTTGTTCATCATCTTAGCTGTAGAGGACGCAGCGTCACTGGCCCTCAATGTGGGATCCGAACCATGGCCCTGCTGCTCAGACCTGGCGCTCCCAAGCGAGCTTTTAACCAGCTGAGCCACTCGGCCGGCCCAAAATTGTTTGCTTTTTTCAGTCTCTCTTTTCTTTTTAGATGCTATAGAAAATAAAATCACCTGAAAAGGAATTGCTACTTTAACACTGCTGCAGAATAATTTTGTTTTATAAGAAAAATATTATTAGCTATGGGAAAATATTGTTCTTTATGTAAAGACTTAAAAATAAGACTAATAGTTTACAGAGTTATGATATAAAACGTGATGTGAATTTATTTCAAACAAGTTGTAATGGTACCAAAAACCACAATAGAAGTTAATATATATAGAAGCTACTAGAACAAAAAAGCTTGAAGTGGGGTGAGGTATGGACTACCAAAAGTAAATTTAAAATATAAAATTTTGAAAGAAACACCTCTATCAGGGGCAGTTAGATATAACTCTCCATTTTTTTCTTTGTAATAATGATATGGATCAACAAATGAAATTTGAATTTTTTAAGATGACTTTAAATGTGTTTTATTTTTTAAATGCATAACTGATTCTTCTATACTGTAATGTTTCTTTGCTGAGGCTGGAAAGTGGCCAGACTGCTGACTTTGTGCCTTTAATATGCATTCTGCTTTGATCATGGCAGACTTTTTGGTGCTGGAGAAGATTCATAGCAGTCCTACATGCGCTTTTCAGGAAATATCTTTCTACTTAGGCCTTGAGAGATTGAAATTGGCATGACTTAGGTTTGGGCCAATATAAGATCTTCTACATTGCAAATAAAGTGTATTGAATAAAAAGTTTGAAAAATATAATGACTGATGGAAATGTTGGTGGTTGGTAATTCTTTAAAATATATTTAAAAGTATACAGACATTGAAATTTTCAGTATGATTATCTTGAAATTGTTTTCAGTTTCCTCATGTACAAAACATGTTTCTAACTCAAAAAATGGTTAAAGACTGTTGTCTTATAAAGTCTTCAAAGGTATAATCAACCTTACATATTTGTATAAGAGGTCGAAATACACAGGCTGAAGTATAAAAGAAAAATTAAAGCTTACTTTAGAGTAAATTGAATTGTCTTTCACTTGAAGTCTTTATCTTATTGTCAATAGAAACTGCATTAAGAAGGTGAAATTCTTGATTTAGAGTAGCTTTTTGCTACTTCACCTCTTCCATATGTCAGGTCTGGTTTGTAGTACTTCTGAGATGGAGTTGTTATAAGATATGTGAAGTCATTAAGATAGTCAAAGAAACAAGCAGGCGTGAGTGCAGAAGCAGGATGTGTGCCACCTGCATTCCTGTTATCCATGGCAGAGCTATGTGCCGGCCATGCCATTCGGGGCCAGCAGCTTCATATAAAAGCACCTGCTCTCAAGTATAGGAATATGTCGATTTTTTTGTAAAAATAGGCCAAATCTTTTCCATTTGCTTATTCAATAATTGTGGCTTATTGTGTCAGGTACTAAATTAACTTATCCTTAAGGAGGTCACAGTCTAGGAGGAAACATGGGTAAACAGACATTTTATTTTATGGCAAACCCTAACTCTGAAAGTTCAGCAGAGATGTTTTAAAATCTTTCTATTTTTGTTATTATGTGAGGGGAAAGCAATTTTGGGTAATTATTGGCTGTTATAAACTAAAATGTCATTAACAACAGGGGTTAAAGGTATCCCCAAAAGAGAGGGCCCTCCATAGGTCAGGCTAACTCTCTCTCAGGAATCCCTCTTACAAAACCCAGCCTTGGCTCGAACAGTTTCAGTGATGGGGGGCATTTATTCCATAACATAATGTTTTTTTCCTGCTGTTTCTTTTAAAGGAAAAAAAAACTTTCTTTTGGTCTGAATTGTTAAAATACCCAAAACATTTGATAGAAATTGAATTCTGTCACCAGCGTTATTTATACTAAGATCAGGACAATTTCTTATCTAATTTTTTTATGTTAAGTTTGACCTTTGTTACAAATGTATGTTTATATTTATTTGAGTTTTAAGATTGGTTAAATGTTAATGAAAAGCAATTTAATTGTTAATTTTTTGTAGTGCCTTTTTCTCTGTATG